CGAGGTGGGGGCTCACAAGGCAACCGGAGAAGGCCCAGAGGGGGGCCCCGAGGGTCGTTGAGGGCGGCTCCCTTTTCAAAATATAGCCCTTGTCTGAACTTCGCCTTCGTGTTCGGATTGTTATTTCGTTCTCTCTCTCTCTCTCTCTCTCGTTCTATGGTTGGTCCCGCCCTCTCTCTCTCTCTCTGTCTCTCTCTCTCTCTCTCTCTGGTTCCCTCTGGTTCCATCCCTTTCGCTCGGTGTCGTCATTGTTCGTTTTCTCTCTCTCTCTCTCTGTCTCCCTCTCTCTCTCTCTCTTTCTACGTGTGTCTACGTGTCTCCCTCTCTTTCAGCGGTTTCCCCTTATCTTGCACTCTTCCATGCTGCATGCTGGACAGTAGGGATGGGGGGGTGGATTGGGATGGATGGCGGCTTGGAGGAGAAATATGCTGATAATTCGGACGACTTTGGGATTACACACTGCTACCCCGCCTCAAAAAGCATACACCAGCTCACCAGCTGACCCAGAGAATCAAACAACGCGTGGTGATCCATAAAACAACAACTTGGTGCGATCGTTAAGTTTTGCGGTCGTTCACACATGTTTTCTTAGACGCGTCCGTTTTTTCATGAACAAGCATTGGCTCCACGCGCTCGTGTTTCGCATGCCCCTGCGCATTTCTTGTGAACTATCTCGAAATCATGATGCTGTTTTTCTTCCACCCATGTGATTTTTTGGGTATCACGTCGTAGTCCGCATGTTGCTGATTTTTTGGGCGCATCTGATTTGTGAGGGTTCGCGTTCGTTTTCTTAGCACGAAATCGCAGTACCATGAAGCGTTTCCATGCACATGCGTGGTCATTTCTATGAGCAGAACAGTGTTTTTGATGTGCTGAAATACGGTGCATTCCGAATGGGCCCAAGCCGAAACCAGCCCCAAGGCAGTTCCGGAGGCTTACCGAATCTGCCTCCGGAGCCGCGGGCTGTGCGCAGGCTTGTGTCGGGGAGCCGCCTCCCCACCCCAAGAGCGACGGAGTACGGCAGAAAAAAACCATAAGCACGGCAAAATATACCTCAAGAGCCACAGAGCACGGCAGAATAGATCCGAAAGCGAAGGAGCACGACAGAAAAAGACAGGGAGCACGGCAGAATAGACCCCCAGAGCTCAGGAGCACGGCAGAATAGACCCGAAGAGCGAAGGAGCACGGCAGGAAAAAAACAGGAGCACGGCAGAATAGGCCCCATGAGCGAAGGAGCACGGCAGAGAAAGACCAGGAGCACGGCAGGATAGACCCCAAGAGCTAAGGAGCACGGCAGAATAGGCCCCAAGAGCGAAAAACACGCCAGGAAAAGACCATGAGCACAGAAGAGTAGACCCCAAGGGCTACGGAGCACGGCAGAAAAAGACCGAAGCACGGCAGAATAGGCCCGAAGAGCCAAGGAGTACGACAGAAAAGGACCAGGAGCACGGCAGAATAGGCCCGAAGAGTGAAGGAGCACGGCGGAACAGACCCCAAGAACGAAGGAGCACGACAGAAAAAGACAGGGAGCACGGCAGAATAGACCCCCAGAGCTCAGGAGCGCGGCAGAGAAAGACAGGGAGCACGACAGAATAGGCCCCATGAGCGAAGGAGCACGGCGGAGAAAAAAAAAAAAAAAGTAAAATGAGCACGGCAGAATAGGCCCCATGAGCGAAGGAGCACGGCTGAAAAAAACCAGGAGCACGGCAGAATAGACCCCAAGAGCTAAGGAGCATGGCAGAAGAGGCCCCAAGAGCGAAGGGGCAAGGTAGAAAAATACCAGAAACACGGCAGAATAAACCCTAAGAACTTAGGAGCACGGCAGAATAGGCCCCAAGAGCGAAGGAGCACGGCAGATAGACCCCAAAAACGAAGGAGCACGGCAGAAATACTCATTCTCCGCCGTGCTCATTTGTTTTCGTCCGCTTGCTCCGCCCGATCGTCTAAGGATGTCTGCAACAAGAGCGCCATTTTTAACATGAGAGGTAGTAAAACCGCCTCTCCAACATATCACTTGTGTGAGGATGTCTCAGGCGATATACCAGTTTTTGAACATATGTAAATCCGCGACTTCCCATTGGTGGGGGATGTCTCAGGCGAAACGCTCATTTTTGATAAACTCGATGTTGCGAACAGATCAATATTGTGAGGATGTCTCAGGCGAACTCACAGTTTGGGGTCGTCTCGAGGGCGATCCTGGGAGTCATTTTGGGGCTCGTTTGGGGCTCGTTTGGGGCCGTCTTGATGCCCTCCAACATCATTACCGTGCGATGTTAGACGCATTGAATGTTTGAGGACGTCCCTAGCGAAATCGTTATCTTTAGAAGGCTGGTTTAGACCATCTAGAAGCCTTTTCAGGAGCGATTCCAAGACGATGTTAAAACAGCAGTTTTCAATGCGATGTTGTTGCATGTATTGATTGTTTGAGGATGTCCCCAGCGAAATCGTCATTTTCGGCAGCCTTCAGGGCGCTCTTGGAGCCATCGTGGGCTCCTTTTGGGGCTCTCATTTCTTCATCTTGAAGCACTTCGAGAACGATGTCGAGGCGATGCTGCGAACGTCTCGTTTGTTGAGGATGTCCCCACCGAAATCGTAATGTTCTGCCGTGCTCTTTTTTTTCGGTCTGTCGCGCCCCTCCCGATTTTCTGAAAATGTCCCGAGCGAAAGCGCCATGCTTCATGTGAGAGGTAGTAAAACAGCTTTTCCAACAGATCAGTTTGTCGAGGGATGTCTCGGGCGAAACGCTCATTTTTCATGCACTGCAAAATCCTTGACATGTTTCAACACCCCGATTGTCTGAGGATGTCTCGAGCGAAACGTCAATGTTGAACAGAAAACGTCTTAAACGTCAGCCTCAAAAATATCCATCTCCGGAGGATGTCTCGAGCGAAATCGCTGTTTTGGGGAACCTTTCCTGACATGAACGGGAAGCGCGTGAAAGGGAAGAGTTGCGCAAGAACTTGCAGCATCATCGTGATCAAATGTAATATAAGCGAGCTCTCCGAACGCTCACAAAGGATACGTATGGACACGCGCCCCCCAAACGTTTACAAGCATCTTCCTGGTTATCCAGTCCTCCGCATGAGGAGGACGACGGCGAAAACGACAAACATGGGAGGAGGGGGAGGAGGATGAGGAGGAGGAGGAGGAGGAGGGGGAGGAGGAGGAGGAGGAGGAGGAGGAGGAGGAGGAGGACCAGCAGCAGCAGCAGCAAGAGCAGGAACAGAGGGTGAGGAGGGGACGGGGAGGAGGACGAGGAAGAGGAGGAACAGGAGCAGGAGGAGGAGGAGAGGGAAGACGAGGCGGAGGATGAGGAAAGAGAAGGAGGAAGAACGAGAGGAGGAGGAGAAGGAGGAGGAGGTGGAGAAGCAAGAACAGGAGGAGGAAGAGGAGGAGAAGGAGGAGGAGAAGGAGAAGGAGAAGGAGAAGGAGGAAGAGGAGGAGGAGCAGGAGGAAGGAGGAGGAGGAGGAGGAGGAGACCACATGGCTTCGAGGGCCCGTTCGAAGGCATTTTGTGAGGGATGTCTCGAGTGAAACGCTGAGTTTTCGACGAAAATGTTAAAAACACTAGGGTTTTCCAATATCTTCGCTTCTGGGGCCATCTTGGGGGTCATCCGAGATCGCTCCGAAAAGTTGCCTTACAAGAGCTGTGTCGGCATCCCATTTGTTCGAGGATGTCTCGAGCGAAACGCCCATTTTCGAGGATCCAAAAATTAGGCGAGCGATTTCAAGATCTCCATGTTTGGAGGATGTCTCGAGCGAAATGCCCATGTTTAGCAAAAGACGTCTTAAAACACGACCCCCAATTTCACGACTGTGTGAGGATGTCTCGAGCGAAACGCTCATGTTGGGAACCTGACCGGACAAGAACGGGAAGCGTCGCCTCAGTCCACCAAGCATGTGGAATATGCGCTGCTGTTGTTACGCCGCACAGGTATGCCGTGGCGCGCGTGTCGGCGTGCGTGCGGGGTGTGTTTTGCTGTGCTCCTGTGTGTTCTGCCGTGCTCCTGTTCTGCCGTGCTTCTGTGTTCTGCCATGCCTCTGTGTGCCCTGTGTGTTCCTGCCGTGCTCCTGTATTCTGCCGTGCGGATCGTCGCGGCGGTCGTTTTGGCGAAGCTTCTGGGCGCGCGCGCGGCAGAAAAAGCTCAGGGGCGCGGCAGAGTAGGCCCCAAGAGCGGAGGAGCACGGCAGAAAAACACCAGGAGCACGGCAGAATAGACCCCAAGAGCTAAGGAGCACGGCAGAATAGACCCTAAAGCGAAGGAGCACCGCAGAAAAAGACCAGGAGCACGGCAGAATAGGCCCCGGGAGCACGGCAGAATAGGCCCCAAGAGCGGAGGAGCACGGCAGAAAAACACCAGGAGCACGGCAGAATAGACCCCAGGAGGTAAGGAGCAGGGCTGAATATGCCCCAAGAGGTGTCCAGGGGGCCAGAGGAGGCCCCATAGAGGCCCCAAAGAGGCTCCCAACCACGAGGCCCCAAGAGGTCCCCCAAGGGGCAACCAAGACGCCCCAAGAGGCCCCAGCGAGAAGGCAAAAAACATGAATGTGACCAAGGTGTTGACCACATGTTGGCCTCCTGGGGGGGCGCCAATCCCACCAGCCCTCTGGGTGTGAGCGGTTTAGAGCGATTCCTCTTCCAACCTCCCTTCCTCGCCTTCGGGGAGGGGTTTACCCCGCCCCCTACCCCCTTCCCATGGGTCTTGAGGCGGGGGGGCGAGGGGCTAGAGTGTTCAAGTGATGTTAATACGGTGTTGGCCGCATGTTGGCCTCCTGGGGGGGACCCGAATTTACTACGGACCCTCCTTTGATCGATCTCCTTTTGCTAAGATGTTGGCCCCAGGATGGGCCCAACGCTCCAAAGAGTACCCCAAGAGAGCCTTAAGAGGCGCCCAGGCGGCCCCAAGAGGCCCCTAAGATGTCTCCACGATGCCTCCAAGAGGCCCCTAAGAGGCTCCCAAGGGACCCCCAAGAGGCCCGAAGAGGCTCGCCCGAAGCACCCAAGACGCTTCAAAGGTCCCCCTGGACCGCCACGAGGCCCCCAAGAGGCCTACAAAAAGCTGTCAAGAGACATCCGAGGAAACTCCGAGAGGTATCCAAGAGGCCACTGGCCTTTCGGCTCGCCCTCCTCCTCCTCCTCCTCCTCCTCCTCCTCCTCCTCCTCCTCCTCCTCCTCCTCCTCCTCCTCCTCTCCTCCTCCTCCTCCTCCTCCTCCTCCCTCCTTCATTCCTCCCCTCCTCCTTCCTCCCTCGTCTCCTCCTCTTCCTCCTCGTTTTCCTCCTTTTCCTCCTCTCCTCCTCTCCTCCTCTCCTCCTCCTCCTCCTCCTCCTCCTCCTCCTCCTCTGGTCACTCCTCTACTCTCCCTTCTCTTGGGGTATGGCAGCGTCCCAGCCTGTTTTTTGACTGCGTGCTCCCCCACATACCTGATCAGGACAACTCGCCTGGGCATCGTTTCTGGATGGGCTGATGATGATACTTTTTAGTCAGCGGCCGCGGGCGAGCGCGCCGGCGGCGAGTCAGGTCAAAGCGGTCTACGCAGAGAAGAATTAAGCAAAAGGCAGCGCGAACAGGCCACGTCTAACGCAGCAAGCCGAGGCCTCACGCGGCGGCCCAGCGACGGGCGGGTGGCAGGGGTGACTGAAACTGAGTCGAACTGCCAGCGTGCAAGTATGCAGGGCGTCGGAAGCACCAGGAAGTCGGGATAAACGACGACCAGGGTCAACTCCGTAGAATTAAGGCCTGAGTCCGAACCCCGGGCAACTGCGTGGGCACCAGGGTGGCCGCAGCCAAACAACCGAACTGATGAGGTTACGCGAAGCGTCTAGACTTGCTACCCATCCTGTCTCCAGTTTCCCTCTTCCTCTGGCTACGCGGCCGTCGGGTTGCGAGGCAGGCCTTCTCCTCCTTCAGCCCTGGCAAGGCTCCCAGCAGTTCCTCTGAACAAGGGGGAACGGGCTGGAACAAAGAACAAATGTCTGGCAAACGGTGCTCAATGCTTGATATCCTTGAAGTACTATGTGTAACACGGTTGCCTCATGATGCACGCCGCCGCAGCAACAAACGATTGCCTTGCGCACAAAAGTGGAATATGAGGCAACACACATACAAGGGTTCCATTGCCTCGGGCTGTGGTTGCTGTCGTATCAGCACTGAACCTTGAAACGAGACCGACGATGCGGAACACCAGGAGGAGAACGACAATAACACGGACGGAAGGGGTTGAGGGAAAGGGGAGGTCGGAAGGGCATGGCAACGCGTGCCGCGGCCCACGAGCACGCCGGCTCCTGCTGCCTCGTGGCAGCGACGCTCAGGTCTCGCAAGGCATCATCGGGCGAGTCTCCTAGGCGACGCCCGCTTGTCATGCGGCGCGCTGCTCACCATCGGAGGCAGACGTGACTCACAGGAGAAGGAGAACGAGGAGTGTCTCCTGGCTTGCTCGTCTCGTGGCGGGAGTGTGCAAATACCTGCTTGCCGCATTGCTGCGGCAGTGCAGCGAGGACGGCGGCGGGTCCAAGCGGGCACGGCCCCCGAGGCCCCTGAGAAAGCGCAGCCGCCACGGGGAAGCAGCGCTTTCCTGCAGCGGACGCACGGAAGGACGGCAAAGGGGCACCGAGGGCTGCGAAGCGCTGGGTGCCGCAGGCGCAGCACTCGGCAAGGAACACGGACAGGGGTTACCCATGTGAGCCCTGCCACTGAGGCCTTCAGTGGAGCTCCCCGGGGTGGGGGGGGGGGCACGAAACGTGTGCGGGGTGTACCGAAAGGGGGCGGGTAACCATGCGAACCCTGCCACTGGGGCCTTCGGTGGAGCTCCCAGGTGGGAGGCCACGAAACGTGTGAGGGGCCTGCCGAACTGGGTCGGATAACCATGCGAACCCTGCCACTGGGGCCCCTCCTCCTCCTCCTCCTCCTCATCATCATCATCCTCCTCCTCCTCCTCCTCCACCTCCTCGTCCTCCTCCTCCTCATCCTCCTCCTACTCCTCCTTCTCCTCCTCCTCCTCTCCCTCCTTCCTCCTCCTCCTCCTCTCTTCTCCTCTCATCTCCTCATCATCAGCAGCAGCAGCAGCGCATCTTCATCATCATCAGCAGCAGCATCAGCATCAGGCATCAGCATAGCCATCAGCATCATCTCATCATCCTCATCATCATCATCATCATCCATATCATCATATCATCGTCGATCATCATTCATCATCATCATCATATCATCATCATCATCATCATCATCATCATCATCATATCATCATCATCATCATCATCATCATCATCATCATCATCATCATCATCATCATCATCATCATCATCATCATCATCATCATCATCATCATCATCATCATCATCATCATCATCATCATCATCTTCATCCTCATCCTCCTCCTCCTCCTCCATATCCTCTTCCTCCTCGTCCTCCTCCTCCTCCTCGCCCCCCTCCTCCTGCTCCTCCTCATCGAGAGGGTAAGGGGGAAGGCAGCGGAGTACTTCGGGCGGGCCGCTCCTTGCCGCTGCCCTCGCTGCGGACGAGGGCGCGAACCTCGGGGGGCGGGAGACGCGGAAGCAGCACCAGGGGGGGGGAGGAGGCAGCGGGAGAAGGCAGGAGGATGAGGAGCAGCAAGAGGAACGAGGAGGCAGAGCAGGATCAGGGTAGGAGGAGGAAGGGGGGTGAGAGAAGGAGGGGGAGGAAGGGGAAAACATGGGGAAAGAGGGGGACGAGGATGAAAATGGGGAGATGAGAGGAAGAGGAAGGGGAAGGGAAAAAGGAAGCGGAAGGGCAAGACGGGGGGCGAGCTCAAGGGATCCCCAATACGCATTTCGTGCCTCATGGTTCCGCGAGGCGCTCAACTTGCTCGCCTCTACGGAACCGCAAGTCGGCCCGGCCCACCCGTCACGCACGTCGTGCCCCATGGATCCCCAGAGGCCATCGGCTGGCCCTCAAGACAGCTCAGCGGGAGTCCGGATTCAGCACACCACTCAGGCACTTCGTGCCCCCTGGTCTGCCTGAGGCGCCCAGCTGGGTGCAAATACAGCTCCAAGACGGTTCCTCTACTGCCCGAGATCGGCCCAGGACGAGCCCTAGACTGCCTCAAGATCCTGCCAAACGGGCCCAAGACCCCCCAAGAGCGCCGAGAGGGCACCAAGAAGTCCCAAGAAGCCCCCAAGAGCGCCGCCCAAATGAGCCCTAAGAAGGCCCAGAGAGGGCCGCATGAAAATCCCAGACATCCCATAAGACCCAAAAGACCCCCAAGACGGCCCAAGGCGGCCCAAGAGGTTCCCGCGATGACCCCGAAAGGACCCCCCAGGCCCAGCTGAGCCAAGTTCACTCAAGTCATTGGAGCTGCGAGATCCGCACTAGAACTTCAGCATCCTGCCACCTGAAGCATTTTGCTGGGATGCTCCACACGCCTTCCTTCCTCCCTCCTTCCTCCTCCCTCCTCCCTCTGTTTCTCCTAAATCCATGGGCCTGCCCCCCCAGTTCCGACTAGCCCACGATGCTCCTCCAGCCCATGCGTGTCCCACAGTCCTGCAGTACCATTCATGATCCGCCACAGGATGCCCAGCTCCCATATCCACAACGTCTGGGTACCTGCATCAGGTCCCCAGGGAACGGTACATATGGACACGTTCCTGCCCTCGGGAGCCAGCATGCATCCGTTTCTGCCACTCCCCGAGGTCCCTGGGGACGACTCCGCGGCGGAGGACATGGTCACATTCCAACGCCGGAGCCCTGACTCGTACTATAGGTCGTGTGAAACCTCCTGTAACAGGACGCTCTCCTATCCAGGTTCTGCCGAACACCCTCAGCGGCCCCTGGAGGCCCTCAGAGGCCCCAAGGGACCCTAAGAGGCCCTTGGGGGCCGTCGGAGGCCCGAGGCATCCCTCGCGTAAGAGGAGAGCGACGTCATGGTGCGATCGGCTCGGGCAGGGCTCGAGCTGCACGGTGTTTTTCGTTTCGTCTTCGTTTTCCTTCGTTCTGTCTTCGTTCTGCCTTTGCTGCGAAACGAAATCAATGCGAAACCGGTCCACGAAGTCGCCGAAACACCGTTTAGCTCGAGCCCGTGCCTCATGATACGCTGCAGGAATTCCACAGCATCTGGCGACCCACTCCTGGAGCCCGCGGGGAAGGACAGGACGCCTTGGAAACCGCCCAAGTCCCGCAAGGCATCGTTCTGATGGCTTCTTGCTCCTCTGCTGGATGCGGCCACGGGGTCTGAACTGGTTGGGACCCGAGAAAGTCGGGCAGGAGGGGGGCATGGAGCCAAATCCACTCAGAATCAGTCACCAGAACCCTGCCGGGGTCCATCTGTTGCAGTTTTTCATCGGGGATGGACAGACCCCCCTTTAGTAAACGTGGTTTAGTGAAAACGACCTGAGGCCCAAACCTGGCGGGCGCAAGCCTGGAAAATAACGGCCACGGCGCCCTCTCGAGAACCGAAAACGGACAACTCACTAATCGACGTGTCACTGTTGGGGGTTCTGTCCATCCCCGATCCTGGGGCCCGAAAACGGCCCCCAGAGGCCCAAAAAAGGCCAAAAGACCTGCCCGAAGCCAACGTCTCGTACCTCTGCCCCCTCCTACCTGCTGGCCAGAGCCAGTGCTTGGTTGCTGGCTCTTGCGAATCGGCGCTGGCCGGCGCCCATCGACGACGATCGACGCTGATTCAACGCTGATCCGCGCTAAATCGGCGCTCGCATCGACCACCAGACGCCAGCGCTCGCTGAGTCCCCCTCGAGACGAAACTGCAACTGCGCGGACCTGCACGGTTGCCACAGTGTACTGCCAGATCCTCTGATGCCGTTGCCGGACCCGCCGCTCCGGCCCGCACCGCCGCGGCGACCCCCACGGGGGCGGCGGGGCCGCACGGCCTGGAACTTGCCGGCGGCCTCGAGGAGCCTCTGGACCACGAGCCTGCCCGTGCGGCCCGAGGCCTGGCGGGCGGGCGGGCCGCGAGGGCGCACGGGGCAGTGGCGGAGCCAGGGCCCGGGCAGCATCGGACCAGCAGAAGTCGGGGGGTTCTGAAGTCCCGCGGTTCCAGAAGATGCAGCGGACGCCGCGGGCGCTCCGGAACGCTCCAGAACGCCGTGGGAGCGGTCCCGAACGCTCGAGAGCAAGTTTCCCTGGTCCGGGGCTCGCCGGGAAAAGCGCGGAGGAGGGGCACGACGAGGACAAGACCGTTAGGACTGAGGTAAGAACGACTATTCGTTCCTAAACCAGCTGGAAGATCCAAACTAGCGCAAACTTAGCAGCCTTATCCGAGTTAATCGAAATTAAGCGGAACGATACTGGAATAGAACGTACAAACAGCATGTTATCCACCGTGACCCAAAAACATGTTTCTTCCCATACACGCTGTGCAAATTAAATGGATCAATATATGTTGTGCAAGTCACCCTATCACACTTGAAACTGCCAATTCCACTGCTCACGCAATCATCCACCAACCCACCCGCAACTTGGTGTGCAAAACTCATGCGACGGCGATTTTGTGACTGTTTGGCGCTGGCTGGCGCATCGCTGCAGCCGCGCGAGGATGAGGGAGGGTGGCGATACCGGCCTGCCTAGAATGGCATGAAACAACATTTACAATGAACAGTGGGCCAGAGTCATAAGAAAAATGGAATACGAAAAAGGGCACTGTTAAGTGCGAGCGGGGGGGGTCCTATTACCTTTTTAGAAGAAGACAGTCGATGTGGTGTAACTCACATATGCTCAACTTGGAATTGTTAACCCCACTCCTCGCGCAATCATCCCACCCACCCGAAACTCATGTCTTTTGATAAACGAGTGCGCGCGCAGAGAACTGGTTGCATAGGATGAGGGAGGGTGGCGATACCGGCCTGCCTGGGACGGCATGAATTCATATGTATAGTGGACGACGGGGCAGAGTCAAATTTAAATTGCAATACGAGAAAGGGCACCGTCCAGTCCGGGTGGGGGGAGTGTAGATCGTATTACCTTCTTAAAAGAGACTCTTTGGGGTGTAACACACCAATTTTCGACTTGAAATCCCACCAGCCCTCTGGGCGCAGATGGTCTAGAGCGTCTCCTTTCCTAACCTCCTTCCTTACCCTGCTCGGGAGGTTTACCTCCCCCCCCTCCCTGGGTCTGGACGGGCTCCCCCGCGAGGGGTCAGAGCGTCCAAAATGGCCGGCTTTAGCTAGCTTAGGATGGCCTCCAAGATCGCCCAAGATACCTCAAGACGGCTCAAGATAACCTCCAACACGCATCCAAGAGGCCTCAAGACGGCCCCGAGACGGTTTCAAGTGCCCTCCGAGCCCTCCAAGGACCCCCCAAGAGGCCAAAATGGGTTCAAAACCTAGGGAAAAACAATGTGGTTTGCCTTGTCGCTTTTTCGCATCCGATGGGCTCTTGAGGCGTCAAGATGGCCCCAAGATGGCCCAACATAGCCCAAAGAGAGGCCCAAGAGGGCCCCAAGACGGCCCCAAGAGCGCCCAAGAGCGCCCCAAGAGCGGTCCAAGAGGGCCCCAAGACGCCACTTTTGGGCCCCCGATGGTGGGGGCCTAAATCTAATACCCCTCTCCTTTTGAGGAAAGGGGTCCAAGACGGCCACAAGAGGCCTCACGGACCCCCCATAAGAGCTCAAAGAGGGCCTCAAGACTCCCCAAAAGAGACCCAAGAGAGCCTCAAGAGAGCCCCAAGCGACCCCAAGAGAGCCCCACATAACAGAAAATTCGATTATACGACGGACTCAGGTGGGAGGGGTCGGGCCTCAGGACCTATCTTATGTGACAGCAGTGGGCCTCAAGACCTCCGAACCCAAAACGCCGCAAGGAGGTCCAAGAAAGTCCCCAGAGGATCCCAACAGGACCCCAAGATAACGCCCACATGGCATTACGAGTCTTCGAAGAACCCCTCACCACGACATATGCCCAAAGCCGGACTTCTCGTCCTCCCTGTCGTCGTCCGTTCCTTCCTTGCTTCCTTCCTGCCGCTTCTCTGTTCCTTTTCACCCTCCTCACGCCGCGTTCCTCCTTCTCTTTTTCCTCCTTCCCTTCCTCCTTTTTCTGTTCCTCTTCCTCCTCTTCCTCCTCTTCCTCCTCTTCCTCCTCCTGCACTACTACTCCTCTCACCCTCAAGATGGCCCCAGGCATCACCAGCACCAGCAGCACCAATTGCTTCAAGATGGTTGCGAGAGGACAACGGAGCACCACATGCAGCAACACCAGCAGCATCACCACCACCGCCACCACCACCACCATCACCAGCACCACCAGCCGCACGCGCGTTCAAGATAAACGTCTGTGCGGGGGGCAAACAACAAGGATGCATATGGGGATGCGACTCTCAACTGTGCGACAAGGGCGACGAATGATGGATACAGTCATCTGCGCAAGAGACGCTTACCACAGGGAACACCCTGGCGTATCTTGCACTGGTGTCCATCCTAAACTTCGCTGCGCGAAGCTGTGTGTGACCCATGTTTCTCATGGCCCACAGTGGATACAGCCACCTGCGCTAGAGACGCTTACCACGGGGAGCACCAC